TGATAAAGCATAGAATAATCTAAATTTATAGGCATAATCTTTCTCTGATTTTCTATAACCATATAACAATAACATTCATTCTTCTGGGCACTGTAATAGTTTCGTCAGAATATCATATAATGTATTGACAGAAAGGATTCTGCCAAAAAATATTTGCCAAAAAATGCCTTCCAGTATTTAAACTGCTGTAAAAGATTTGCTGGCCTTTAGTCTGTCAAACAAATCTCATGAATTATATGAAGTCATTCTGAGTCAGAAAGTATATTCCTGTCACAAGGAATAAACTGCAACGAGTTTTTTACAATTAACTTTTATTTATCTTTTATTCATCCAGGTAAAATTATCATTTAAATTACAAATGTGTAAAAGAGATCTCTTTATACATATTTGGATATAGATAAATAGATATAGATAAGCCCTTCATAAATCCTATTGACTACAGCCTATTTACCAACAGAAACAAGGATATGACATCGGTAATCTGGTGAGCTGTTCTTCAGTATGATTATTCAATGGTACTGGTGCGTGCAGTGCTTTTGCAGTACTACACTCTTAATGTAGTTACTCAGACTGCACAAGGCATCACATTGTTTTCATATTTGTTGGAGTTGATATAATAAGACTGGATAGACAACATTTCTGAAACAAATCCATCGCTGCTGCTGAGCCCAGTTTCTCTTTCACACTGACCGACATGGCCGATGTTAATGATAGACGTAATGCAGCAAGAGCCCGAGGTTTGAAGACAGCCAGGGCGTTGATGCTGCAAAGTGTGTAAACTCATGGCAACTCATGGACAAAAGCGACTACCAAGATATCACAGGATGCAGCAGACGGAGGAAGACACATGCCGTGTTTTCTCTGTCGTTGGTGTCTACTCAGCCAAGTCTATCGAACCACTGACGCAGGGCAATAAAAATATTGCACTTAACCATTGCATTATTGACGGTAGTTAGGCAGCTAGCCTACAGCTAGCCGCAAGTGCTAGCTTGGGAAGTATGATAGCCTTTCGCTGCGCGTTCGAATCGTATTGCTCAGAGGAATTAACACACTACACTTCACTGTTCTGTCCCAGCCTTTCGGTCACTACTGTCAGTTATATTAGTCAACTTAAAAAAAATCATACCTTGCTGAGCTCTAGTCCGTCTAGGTTTTCCTCACTCTCCGCCATATTCCATTTGCCGTAAAGGAGGAGGTGTCGCTAGGAGACTGTTCTTACGACCAGAACCTTTCGCCGATGCTGGTGCTGTATGAGCCCAGCCACTAGACGGCGCCGGTCGAGATTGTTCCGTACACGGCGGGGCTGGAGGTCAGAGTTCAACGTTTGACAGAAAGCTGAACATGGATTCCATATTTCACGAGAAAGTAAGTTAAAAATATATATCTCAAAGTATTCATGGCCACGCTGTTGGTCGTCTTTATTCGGGAATGTTCTGGACTCGTGACTGCACTTTGTTTACCAGGATTATGTAGCTGTTACGATATATGGGGTAATGTTTAGCAGTATTGTTGTCCAGACAGCTAAAATGCTAACTCACTTGCTAATATGAGATGTTGAAAAGTTTCCATTCAGCTTGTAGAATCAACGCAGAAGGCGTCTTTATTTCCGCAGTCGTGTTATTTTTCTCATTTTTAGCAAAAGGATTAACTTAATATAGCAATCTTTTGTTACAGAGGACCAATAAGATCAGTTGTGTATGTTGTTTACGTAGTTTAGCTAGCTCTGTGTTGGTTCCAGTTACTGATGCGAGAACAAATTATGAAATCGATTATTTCACCTTCATAAAGCTACCAAAGTTGTTGCGGACCCCTTAAAATCATACTGCCGGGTGAGTAACAAAACCATTTAACAATACCGATTCTTAATTTGCAGCAAGAGGGCTCCCTTTGCGCCCAGCACTGTCTTAACAACCTGCTACAAGGAGAGTATTTCACTCCTGTGGATCTATCCTCAATTGCTCATCAGCTCGATGAAGAGGAGAGAATGAGGATGGCAGAGGGAGGTATGGCCAGCGAGGAGTACAGGACCTTCTTACAGGTGATTAGAGACAGAGCGGAAAATAAATACCTCATCAGCATATCTATGGATGTTTTGCACAGTTACGTCATTTTTCGTATTGTACTCAATCTATATTTATAGCAACCATCAGGAAACATGGACGACAGTGGGTTCTTTTCCATACAAGTGAGTTTAAAAAATTCACTCTTTATAAGAAAGTATTTCTTTTAATAAGTAAGTCATTTTGTTTTGTTTTTTTGTTTTATGATTGTTTTTTTGGGTTTTTGTAGGTAATTAGCAATGCTCTTCGAGTGTGGGGCTTGGAGCTAATCCTCTTCAACAGCCGCGAGTACCAGAGCCTGATGATAAATCCAATGTAAAGCTCTCAGTTAGGATTATATTATGTAACAGCAAATTTGTATGTACATTTTAAGTTGATTTTGACTTCAATGTTTCAGAAATGAAAAAGCCTTCATTTGCAACTACAAGGAGCACTGGTTCACTATACGCAAACTTGGACAACAGGTACGAGGTACATGTTTTCATGAATGATATTAATGCAGCTTCCTTTACTAAAGTTTTTCATTCTGTTTTCATTCCAGTGGTTTAACTTGAATTCCCTTTTGACTGGACCAGAATTGATATCAGACACCTATCTAGCCCTTTTCCTTGCACAGTTACAACAAGAAGGTATTGAAAAAAAAAAATTTCATTCACTTGTTTAGATGTTGCACTGCAGAAAAGATTACAGCAATTTATTTGTGCAGGGTATTCCATATTTGTGATCCGAGGAAACCTTCCCGAGTGCGAAGCAGAGCAGATTCTTGGAATCATGAGGGTCCAGCAGCAGCAGCGGCCCAGACTAATTGGAGAAGAGGAGGCCCAGACTAGTTCAGGGTATGTATGTGTAGCCTGTGTGGTATGGAGGACCCAGGAGATGCTCATAAAGGAGTCACATACATTTTGTTTTGTACTGCTTAAAAGAAACTTGTGACTTACCTTTGACAACTGATTTAGTTGTTCTCTAACAGTAGCAGGTCAGTTGCTCTGGGCCAATCAGAGATGGCCTTTGGTGTGGAGGATGAAGTTGTGGATGAAGATGAAGAACTGAAGAGAGCTTTAGCACTCAGTAGACAGGACATAGATGTGGAAGATGAAGAAGCTGATCTTCGCAGGGCCATACAGCTCAGTATGCAAGGTACAGTACAGGTCATCTAAAAGTTTAAAAAATGTTGTATTGTTGTAATTGTAGTTTACAAGAAAAGAGACTACAAAATAGCACTGTAAAGTAAAATTTTTATAGTGATAGTTAATTTTTATCTATAAAAAAAAATTCTGGTTAGCACTAACATTGCTTTAAGTAATATGCATGCATATGCAGTATGGATATCTATTTTTCCATATTACAGGAGCAGTTATGAGCAACAAGTCTTCAGAGTGTGGAGTGGGAAATGTAAAATCAGGGAGCCAGGCAGCAGGAAGTGCTGCAAGAGAACAGAGAGAAGGCCAGAATGAGACACTTACAGCTGAGGAACTGAGGAAGAGAAGACAAGCCTACTTCGATCGGTAAGTTTAACTAAAACACTCCTGCAGTGACAACTGCATATCGCACCTTCTTTTCAAAGTATACCGAGAAAGTATTGCATGGATTTTGATATAAGTCCACTGTGTTTACTGTTCAGGCAGCAGCAACAAACTCAGACAAACATTCCTCAACCAAAAGATACTCAACCAACTGGAAGCTCAGGTCAGCAAATCTTTTTTTTTGAATGTAAATATCATACATACTTTGTGATTTATTTAATATTCTACTCAATTTAATGGAATCTAGTAACACAAGCCCACTTGCTTTTACTAGGTTCAGTAAACGCTGGCTCTGAAGGGGACCAACAACCAAAGCCCAGCCAGTGAAGTTGTGGAAGGTTTGCCTGTATTGTTTACCAGCTGCCTGGATTGGCAACCCGGTACAGGGTTAGCTTTTCTCCCTCCTCTAACCTTTTGCACATGCGGACCTGAGGACAGTCAGAAGGCTGACAGTTCACCCCTGGTTAGTTCACTGACTATAAAGGCTATAAAGAAGAGGCAGCACTTAATCCGGCTCAGTGAAGTACTGAGATGGGGAAAAGATTGACGAGACTCATGATGCAGTTAATCCAAGTTTGCAATTGCCTTTTTAACCATGGCGCCTTCTCTTTCTATTGTATACACTTTTGTATTCTTTTTTTGGCTTTTTTTTTTTTTTT